CTTCAAGCTTCAGAAAGGAACCTACTTCTCCCTCCACCTTCCCACCTGGAATGTGGATGTGGTCTCTAGCCATCTTGAACCAGGAGAGGGGACCCCATGGTGGCAGAGCAAGAAGACAAAAGGAGGCAGGTTCTCCTATTATTACTGCTCCCCCCAACCCCCACCTCCCAGTCTCTTTACTACAAACCACCCATTGTGTATATGGAAATCAGCTTACATCACTCATTCAAAACTCTCCAACAGGAGACTTTCCTGGTGGTCCAGTGGCTAAAACTATGCTCCCAATGCAGGGAGCCTGGGTTTGATCCCTGACTGTGGAACGAGATCCCACATGCTGCAGCTAAGACCCAGCACAGCTGAATAAATAAATATTTTAAAAATTTAAAAAAAAAAAAAAAAAAGGAAGACTTTCTGAGGCACAGACCTGGGGCAAAGTGCCTGCATGTCCAGGTCTAAGAGTAGTAGTTTGGGGAAAAAAAAAAAAAAAAGACTTACCCTCCAATGGCATCCTGTAACTAACATTGAAAGACCTTAACCAGGACCACAAAACCTAACAGTGCCAAGGCCCCAGCCCCCAAAGCAGCCTCAGCTCCAGGGATGGAGCTGTCGTCTTCCCTCCACTCCAGCCACACTGGCCAGGCTGACACCTGCCTCGGAGCCTCTGCACTCTCTGCTGCGTCTTGCCCAGAACTTGGCCAGGCTGCCTCCTTGTTACCCAGGTCTCAATGCCTGCCACCTCAGAGAGGTCCTCCTCGGCTGCAACAGCACCTCCAACCCGTACCCTGATTCAGTTTCTTCCCAGCACACTTCACCACTTGGAACTGTCACCCGTGTTTATATCATCACCTGTGTCCTTCCTCTGGAATCCGAGCTCCTGAGGGTGAGTGTTGGGTCTTCCTCACGGCTTCATCCTCAGCACCTAGGACAGTGCTTACCACTGCAGCTCAAAAAAGAACTCCCTGACTGCCCACTGGCTTACTTCACGCTCAGCCTCAGCCCATCCTTCCACACTGTTCTGTCAGCCTGGGCTTTTGGCAGCTGTACTTCCCAGACTCCCTGGAGAGCTGGCTTCCTTCATCCCATAAGACCTAAGGGCAGAAAGAAGGTCAAAGAGGGAAGAAGGGGTCCTGCTGGGGCCCCTCCAGCAGCAGTTCAAGCTCCAGTATCTCCTTACACACTCAGCCAGAGCACTGTGCCCCACTTTGGGTTTAAGCAGGAGCTGTGGGGTCATCAACCCCTGTACCAGCCACACACGTGGCTCCCACTGGGTTCCGGCCATTGTACTTCTCTTTCTGCATCACAGTCCTAGAGGTGGGAGCTTCTTGCAGACACTAATTTCTCAGCTACCATACTTTGAGCATAAGTTTGTGCTCTTAGCTTTCTAGTACTTGTGTGACCAACTCCCAGTACAGAATCCTCCGGGATTCCTCACTTGGCCTCTATTTCCTCTAGGCTCTGAAGAACTGGAGGACTCCGCTGGCAGCAGACCAGGTCTCCTGATTCCCAGTCTCTCATGATCCTCAGGAACTTTTGCTGATGAAGGGGTAATTCTCTACTTCTGTGTTTAGAACGCCCCGTCTTAAGGCAGAATAGGGCTTAGGCATGCTGCCCCCAGGAAATAAAATCCATCTGTGTTGTTTTAATGAGCTGCCAAGTTTCTACTGAGTTGGCCAAAAAGGTCATTAGGATTTTTCCATAACATCTTGGCTCAGCTACTGAGATTCTGAGGTGGTTCTGCGGTGGTGGTTTAGTCGCTAAGTTGTGTCCGACTCTTTGCAGACCCCATAGACGGTAGCCCACCAGGCTCCTCTGTCCATGAGATTCTCCAGGCAAGAATACTGGAGTGGGTTGCCATTTCCTTCTCCAGAGGATCTTCCTGAACCAGGGTTTGAACTCTTGTCTCCTGCACAGCAAGCAAATTCTTTACCACTGAGCCCCTAGGGAAGACCTCGTAACATCTTACAGAAAAACCTAAACGAACTCTTTGGCCAACCCAATGCTTTGATGATTCTGAGACTCATTGATGTTAAGCTAGAGTGGTTATGAAAGTCTCAAAGAGTGGATAAATGTCAGATTCTGAGCTTCCAGGATGAACAGTATTGGGTTTTGAAAGATGCTTTGGTCATGATCCTGTAACAGACATCAAAACATAAAATTACCTTTTGGGGCCAAGCAGGGACCACAAATTGGTGATGCAAGCTGGGTATGAGGGGTCCAGATGCCAGATGGTGGGGACGGGCATGCAGGATGGAATGCCTTGTTAATAGGAGGTGACCCCCACTCGACTCTAGCAAACTATCACCCCGTGGGATTGTGAGTTCAGCCATCAATCTCACAGGGCTGCTGGAAACTTCCATTTCTATTCCAGATCTGCCCAGTTTTTCCATGTTGTTGACCAACATGATTTTAAAAACCTCAATAACTCTGGAGACCAAATGCACTCCTGCAAGTCAGATGATGGCTGTGGACAGCCATTTCTGGTGTGTGGCTTAGTGGCTAAGAATGTGTGCCCTGCACCCAGTTGTCTGGATTCAAACCTAGCCTCTGCTTCTTTCTAACTGTGTGACCTCTTGCAGATTACTCAGAGATTGAGTAATCTCAATCTCTGTGCCCCAGCTGTAAAATGTCATGATCACAGCCCCTATAGCTCTAAGGATTATGAAGACAGACTTGGAGAGAAAGTCAAAGTCGGTATTACGCCCTATGTGACGTGGCCCTCTGCCCCTACGCTCCCACCAGTCTCCCCACTGCCTTCCTCAGCAACAGCCTCTTGGCCCCAGGTGCACTGCCATGAACATCCAAAGCAGGATCCCACCTCGGGGCCTTTGCACCTGCTGTTCCCACAGCCACATGGCCTGCTCCTCCTCCTCTAGGTCTCCTCTGATGTCACCTTCTTAGTGGAGCCTTCCCTGACTACCTCATTTGAAACTGCTTCACACACAAGAGCCTCCCATTCCTCTTCTCTTTTCCTCCACAGCACTTATAACCTCCTAACACTCTATACATTTTTTCGTTGTTGTTTGTTTTGGCCATACTCAGTCTTAGTTGTGGCTTTTGGGTTCTTTCAGTTGCAGCATGTGGGATCTAGTTCCCTGATCAGGGATTCAACCTAGGCCCCCTGCATTGGGATTGCAGAGTCTTAGCTACTCAACCATCAGGGAAATGCCCATTCTATACATTTTGCTTAAATATTCAAGTATCTGTTTTCACTGTTATAACCACCACAAGGGCAGAGATTTTTATTGTGTTTACCACTCTGTTCCCCGCTCCCCAAATAGCACCTGTATCACCTACGTGCTCAGTAAATCAGTGCTGAATGAATGGGAATAAATAACAGTCCCTACCACATAAAGGATCCGATGCGATTGTCCCTATAGAGCGCTTAGCCCGGGGTCTGGTCCGTCATGAGCCATTATGGTAATTCAGGTTCTATTCTGGAGGGTTCTTAGTTGCCAAGCTTCTGTGAGTTAACACATGTAAAGCGCCTTAGGACAGAGCTTGGCACACAATAAATGGTAGCTATTATTATAATTAAGCTTCTATTTTCAAAGAAGCTTCAGTGCCAAGCTTCTGGGAATTCGTATTTCCCATCTCAGAGCGAGAGCTGGTGTTTCCACACAGCTGTCACGAGCTGACCCTCTACTCCTAACTCTGACCTCATCCCTCCAGTCACTCTGGCCTCCTTGATGCCCCACCCCCTCACCTAGATGGCTTCCTTCCTCCCCTTCTCTGATCTCTGTTCACCTCAGGGAGGTGACACCACTGTTTAAAACTGCATCCTCTTCCAGAACTGTTCTCTTCTCTACTCTAGTTTCCTCCACAGCGCTTAGCCCCATCAAGCATGTTACGCCTTTCTTGTCAATTTCTTGTTTACTACCTGTCCCCACCAGGGGCCCCTTCTCACTTCCAGGTAAGCTCCACGAACACAAGGATTTTATCTTATTCATTGGTGTGTTACAAATGCTTAGCACACAGCCAAGGATTGAAAAGATATTTGTTAAATGAATTAATGGCTCACAGTCCCTACCTTGCAGAGTTATTCTAAGGGCCTGATGATCTCATGCAGATAAAATGCAGCACTCTGTTAAGTGCTGGGAAAACGGCAGCTGTAATTATAATTAAGGTTCTATTTTTGTGTGTTCCTAGATGCACAACTTTTCTGAGTCAATACACTGAATACATAAAGCTCTTGGACTGGCGTTTGGCACTCAGGAAGCGCTCAGGAAGCAGAGCTATGATTATAATTAAAGTCCTCTTTGTGAAGGTCTTGGATGAAGTGGCAGAGCATGCTCACTGTCTTCCACAAACGTTTTCTGCTTTCTGGGCACTTGGCGAGAACGCCTTTCCCACACTCCCTTGCAGCAAGCTGTGGTCATGTGATTAATCTCTCAGCCATAGAATGTAAGTGGCAGCGGTATGTGCCCCTTCTAGGCTGGGGCTTCTAAGTAAGCATGTGTACCTCTCCTCTTCCACCCACAGAGCTCCAGCCAGGGACATCCAGCCATGACCATGTAAATGACAAAAGGATGGCCGGTGTCTCCCTAAATCACCATATGGAGATTACCTGCCAACCTGAAACACCCGCCCTTGGACTATCATGTGAGTGAGAAACAAAATCCTCGTGTGTCTGAGCCTGCACATCATAGGGTCTGTGATAAAATACGTGGAAACCACATTGAACTATGCACTTAGTAAACATTAATTATCGTGGTAACAGTGATCCTAAGGTTTCCCCAAGAAGGAGCCTGGGGATGGTGAGGTAATGTCCAGGCGCATGCCTCACACACTTGAGCTTACACACACACACACAGGCGCATGCCTCACACACTTAAGCTTACACACACACATACACACACACTGGACCGACACACAGAATCTGGCTTTTATTCTGGCCCTCACATGTCTACTGCTAAGACGACACAGACTGGAGGCGCCCCACCCGCTCCCACCCCAGGGCCCTCAGCGCCCGCCCGCCCGCCCGCCCGCCCCTCCCAGGCACCCGTGGGCTCTGCCTACACCTCCCCGCGGGCGTGCAGCATGAAGTGCCCGTGCAGCTCGCCCAGGCTGTCGAAGCAGTCTTCGCACTCTGTGCAGTGGTAGGTGCCCTCCTCCTCCTCCTCCTCCTCCCCCCGCCCGGCGGGTCGGCCCTCCCCAGCCCGAGGCGCCCCCCGCCCTTCCTCCCCGAGGGCCCGGCTTTCAGGGGCTGGTGCTTCTTGGGGGGCTACTGCAGGGCAGCAGAGCCGGCAAGGTGGGGTGCCCGGCGGGGCCTCCCCGAGGGGCGAGCGGCCGCAGAGCTGGCAGGGCTGGGCTGGGGGGCCGGGAGGCTGGGCCGCACGGGGGGCCCGCCGGGACGGGCCCCCACGGCCCCCACCCAGGCGCTGCTTCACCTTGTAGCCGGGGTCATACTCGGGGTCGTCAGTGGTCTCCTCCTCCTCCTCTTCCTCCTCGTCTTCCTCCTCGGAGTCTGGCTCTGAGAGAGTGTATTCGGAGTCAGAGGAATGCTCAGGGCCTGCGGGGGTGGTGGGTAAGGAGACAGTGCGTCACTGGACAGAGGGCTGCGCCTGGCTGTCCCCTCGCGGAGACCCATGCAGACTCGCCGCAGTATTGGGCCCAACCCTGCTCTCCGCACCAATGAACCCTCATCGCACAAAACAGTCCGGCACACCAGAGGTGCTAGGAATCTGTGCATCAAGCAAATGCACATCTTTTAAGAACTGCCATCTTAGGGGGTTAAAAAGAACAAAGTAGGAATAGTAAAAACAACAGTGATAGTGTCCACTGCTATTTTAAGAACTTTGGGGGTTTTTTTGGCCATGCCATGCAACATGCCGGATCTTAGTTCCTTGACCAGGGATCGAACCTATGCCCCCTGCAATGGAAGCACTGAGTCTTAACCACTATACTACCAGGGTATTCCCAAGAACCTTATTTTTTATAAATACTAACTCAACTCATCTTTACAACAACCCTGAGGGAGTTACTAGTATTATCCCTAAGTGACAAATGCGGAAACCGAGGCATGGAGGTGCAGTGACTCACTGGCCTCCAGTCACACAGCTAAAAGGGAGAGCTAAATGTGGGTGATGGCCTAACATGGCTCATTTTAGGGAGGCAAACACTCGAGCAGATACTTCAGCAAATTAAAACACATACATATACATACTTTGAAATACATGGTTTTATATTAATATATATGCATGAGTGCATGCTCAGTCACTTAAGCTGTGTCTCTTTGCGACCCCGTGGACTGTAGCCCACCAGGCTCCTCTGTCCATGGGGCTCTCTAGGCAAGAATACTGGAGAAGATTGCCATGCCCTCTCCAGGGGATCTTCCTGACCCAGGGATCGAATCATATCTCCTGCATTGTAGGCAGATTCCTTACCGCTGAGCCTCTGGGAAGCCCAAGAATACTGGAGTAGGCAGCCTATCCCTTTTCCAGGGGATCTTCCCTACCCAGGAATCGAACCCACATCTCCTGCACTGCAGGCAGATTCTTTACTGCTGAGCCACCGGGAGGCCCTTTATAAATAAATAAATAAATACATACATACATACACACACACATACATACATACATATATATAAGCCCTTTATATACACATACATATATATATGTATCTATGTATACAAAAAACATCTAGTAAAGTGAGTTAAAATATGTGTAAAAATAGGTGTATTACTGTGACTTCATGGGTGTGAAGGACATGCCTAGGACAAATTTACGTTTAAATAAAGTAAGAAGTGTAAAGTGGATATACAGGGGAGGGTGACACCAACAGCTGTTATGGGGGGGTGTGGACCCCAGCCCCAGAGGGAGCCCCTACTGTGGTAGGGGTGGCAGTGTGGGAAATACCGGCTGCTTTAGGAGTGGTGGCCTGAGCCTGCCAAGGACATCTCCTAAGACTGCGACAGCTCAGCCCTGCATCCATGGCCCTCCGCCTTAGTTTACCCCAGCAGCGTACAGGGGCCCCATTACAACTGGGCCAGCCACATTCCTCACATCCCTCAACACCCAGGCCAGACCCCAGCTCAGGGCCGTCACCTCCCTTTCTGCAGATGAACTAAGGCTTGATCCCTCCCTTCTGTCACATCTCTGCTCAGGTGTCATCTCGGTGAACACCTGGTCAGTAAGTCTGACTGGCAGTCCCTCCCGAGCACTCCCTATGCCCCTCACTCGGCTTTATCTGTCTCCTCAATTTACCGCATGCAACTCTTGCTATGTGTTTACTGCCTGTCCCTGAGAGCAGGGGCTTTGTCTCATTCATAGCTGTGCCCCTAGCATCTAGAACACTTTCCTTGTGCCTGGCATACAATTTGACATCCTTTTCTGTGGCTTCCCCATGTGCTGAGAATGTCTCCTGTTAGCCTTAGGACATTCCTCTCTGATGAGGGCACCCCAGATCTCCTGATCCCAGGCAGCCAGTCACTTCTGCCCTCTGGCTATCCCAGTCCTGAATCCTCAGGGGGGTGTCCATCCAAAGTTCTTCCCCACTGATCAGCGGACAGGCCTGGGCTGACTCACTGCTGGGTCCCCAGCATCACCCAGCTTGGAAGCCCAGGTTATGAATGTCTGTCCCTCCCTGCGGCTCCCTCCATCTCTTACTTGTTCCTGCCTCTGTCCTGCTGTCTCTCTGTCAGCCTTGGCATGGGCTGGTCCCTCGGCCTGGAATGCTGTTCCCACTCTGTCTGCCTGGCGACCTCCTGCTCATCCTTCAGGACCCAGCACAGGCTCCGTTCTCCCTGAAGTCACCACCCTGATGACTTCAGGCGGGGGGTCTCTGCCCTGTTCCTTCCACCCTGGCTCCACCTCCCCGTCACTGTCCTAAAGGCTGCAGCCAGCTGGGCCCCAGCATGTCTTCCCGATCAGGCTAGGAAGCCCTGGGGCAGGGCTGACTCATCTGGGGTCCTCAACAGGACGCGTGGGTGGGATGAACAAGGGCCGCCCTGCTCTCTCTCCTCCGGGCATTTGCCTCTGCTCCCCTCCCACCTGGGACAACCCTTTCCTTCTTGACTAGCAAACTCCTGCTCCTCTTTAAGGCCCCAGCTCCACGTCACCTCCTCTGTGAGGGCCTCCTGGACTGCCCAGGTGGTCAGTGCCTCTCTCGTCTGGGCTCCCCCTACCCCCAATATACCCTGACCGCCTGGCCTGGGCAGTGACCATCTGGGTGTGGAGACTGGAAACTCCTGGAAGGCAGGGCCTGGGTCTCATCGCTCTCTGCATCCTCTCCTTATCCTGAGCATAAGGCAGCCTGAGGAGGCATATGCTGAAGAGCTGTGAAGCATACTTCCAGCTTTGGGCTGGGGGGCCCACCCCTCTTTCTCCTCCCACCTCTGACTTCACACCACCCCTCCAGGGTCTTCACTGCCCACTGTGACTTCACAAAGTTGGCTTGAGCAAGGCAATCAGGTAGTAACCTGTGGCTACCAGGCCTTTTGTGTCCACCGTGACTTCCAGGCCCACGAGCCCTTTCACGGCCACCATGCCTTCTCCACCTACGAGAGCCCCAAAGCCCAGCACATCTCCGGCACCCACTGGACCCCCGATGCCCGCAGAGTCTCCCAAGCCTCCCGCCTCCTTGAAGACCCCCAAATCAGCAGTGCCCAACAGCCCCTCGGCATCCACCAAACCATCCACAGCCCCCAACTCGGTCACAAGCCCAAGCAGTTCCAAATCTCCCAAATGGGCGAAGACCAAGACAGCCCCTTCTAACCAGCCCAGCCACAAGTCGCGAGTCCACAGCCAGGCACGCACGCCCAGCAAAGCCAGCACTGACACCCGGGCCAGCACTGACACCAGGGTCAGCAAGGCCAGCAAGGCCAGCGGGGTAAGACGCCCCCAGCACCAAGGCACCCGCAGCCGGGGCAGAACTCCTGGCAGAAAGGGAAGCCGCAGCTCCAAGCGGTCAGCCAACAGGGCCAGCACGCCGAGCAGGATACGAACTCACGGTGCCAAACCAGGCATGCCCAGCAAGGTGAGAACTACTTCCCAGCAAAAACAGGGTAGGGGGAAGAGTTACAGCAGGCCTAGAACCAGCAACCAGGAAAGGAGTGAGAGCCAGCCTAGAAGTGTGAGCCGAAAGAAGAGCAACAGCCCCCCAGGAACCTCTGATATGGGAAAGAGTTCCAGCCCGGCTGCAGCCCCCAGCAGGGCAAAGAGTTACAGCCCCACTCGAACTCCCTTCAAGGAGACAGGTTACAGCCAGTCTCCCTCATTGTCGCGGAGGGTGAAGAGTTACAGTCAGATGATTACCCCCAGCAGGGAATGGAGTTACAGCCCGACTGAAGCGTTCAGCAGGGTCGAGAGTTACAACCAGGGTAGTATGCCCAGCCGGCCCCAAAGTCACAGCAGGTCTAGCAGTCCCAGCCGGCCCCAAAGTCACAGCCGGTCTAGAACGCCGAGAAGGGCAAGAAGTCACAGCCGGGAGAGGGCCCACAGCAGGGTGAGAAGTCACAGCTGGAAGAGAAACCACAGCAGGGCAAGAAGTCGGACCCGCAAGGGAACTCCCAGTCAGACGGGAAGACAGAGTCCGTCAAGAATCCGCAGCAAGGGGAAAAATTATACCCAATCTAGAAGCCCCAGAAAGGAAAGAAGTCACAGCCAGTCTAGAAGCCACAGCAAGGAGAGAGGTTACAGGCGATCTAGAACCCACAGCAAGGAGAGAGGTCGCATATGGTCTAGAACCCCCAGCAAGGAGAGAGACCACAGCCGATCTAGGACCTCCAGTGAGGAGAGAGACCACAGTCGATCCAGAACCCCCAGCAAGGAGAGAGAGTACAGCCAAACTAGAACCCTCAGCAAGGGAAGATATTACAGCCGATCTAGAACCCCCAGAAAAGAGAGAGATCACAGCCGATCTCGAACCTCCAGCAAGGGGAGAGATCACAGACAACCTAGAACCCCCAGCAAGGAGAGCGATCACAGCCAAACTAGAACCCCCATCAAGGAGAGAGATCACAGCCGATCTACAACCCTCAGCAAGGAAAGAGATCACAGCCAAACCAGAACCTCCAGAAAAGAGAGAGATCACAGCCGATCTCGAACCTCCAGCAAGGGGAGAGATCACAGTCGAACTAGAACCCCCAGCAAGGAGAGAGGTCACAGCCGATCTACAACCCTCAGCAAGGAAAGTGATCACAGCCAAACCAGAACCTCCAGAAAAGAGAGAGATCACAGCCGAACTAGAACTCCCAGCAAGGAGAGAGATCACAGCCGATCTACAACCCTCAGCAAGGAAAGAGATCACAGCCAATCTACAACCTTCAGCAAGGAAAGAGATCACAGCCAAACCAGAACCTCCAGAAAAGAGAGAGATCACAGCCGATCTCAAACCTCCAGCAAGGGGAGAGATCACAGTCAACCTAGAACCTCCAGCAAAGAGAGAGATCACAGCCAAACTAGAACTCCCAGCAAGGAGAGAGATCACAGCCGATCTACAACCCTCAGCAAGGAGAGAGATCACAGCCAAACCAGAACCTCCAGAAAAGAGAGAGATCACAGCCGATCTCGAACCTCCAGCAAGGGGAGAGATCATGGCCGATCTAGAACTCCCGGAAAGAAGAGAGACCACAGCCTGACCAGCACGTCCAACCAAGAAAGTGACCCCAACAAGGAGAGCAATTCCAGCCAATCTACAACCCCCAGCAATCTCAGCAGGAAGGGATCCCATAGCAGAGCACAGAGTCCTAATGAGAACACAACACCTAGCGAGACAAGGAACCACTCCCGGTCAAGATTTCTTAGCAGAGCCCCAGGCCCAAACCAGGATGATACACAAGCCGACACTACCGCCTCTAAGCCCATCTCACCTGGAGAAAGGTCCTCGTCGTCTTCTTCCAAGCTGGCGTAGCCCCCAGTCTCAGCTGGCTCACGGGTCTCTGTCATGGCCGGGGGAGGGGACAGGAGACAGGAGCAGAGCAGAAGCTGGGCAGTGTCCCTCGCTGGCCAGCTTTCCACAGCCACACCTCGGCCACAGGTCCTCTAATGCGGATGTCGGCTTGTAGAGAGGGATACTGGATCGGGAAGGAAAGACCTGTGGCAACAATAAATTTTTACATAGCATCTGCCTCCGCAGGACTCCGTGTGCTCAGTGTGGGTAAGGCAAAGATGATCCCAGCTCTGTCCTAGGCTGTCTACAGGGCCTTGACTGCAGGCTCTGTCCCTCTTATAGGCTTTACTTTCCCCATCTGGTTCTCATTCAATGGAGTGTGAAAGGGTAATATTCCAAATTATTTAACAAGGAGTACTAACACGAGCGCCAATCAGGACTGAGAATGGAACACGGACCTCTTGCCAGGCATTAATCCTTTACTTGCTGGGCTCTGGGTAAGCCTGGAGTTGGAAGAAGACTCCAAATTGGCAAGCAGGATTACTTGGTATACTGGTAATACACCAACCAGTCTAGAAGTCATTCTGTATTTAAACAACTAGTATGGCTGCACTGAATTTGTGACTGTCAGCCCTAATTCTTTATCAGTTTGCACCTTGGCAAGAGGATGTCTAGGTCTGAATCGTAAATCTGCCACATTCTAATTGTGCAGCCTCAAGCAAGGGGCCTACTTTCTCTAGTCTATTTCCTCCTAGGTACAAAACAAATCTTCCAGAGCTTAATTTATGTACTTGTAACCATACTGAGACAGATTACTATCTCCTTTGTACAGATGAGGAAACTGAAGCACAAAGAGGATTAACAAATAGCCCAAGGTCAAATCGTGGGTGGGTGAACTCGGATTTAAAGCCATGTCATCCTACCTCTCAAAAACTGATCCTTCAGCTGAAGAGATTTTTTGAAAATTCAGGAGATTCATTGTATCAAATGCTGGTATGTGGCAGGTACTCCATTAATGGTGGCTATTACTATCTCCACCCCCAACCCTCTATAAACCCCAGTCATTTCAGACTCTCACCTCTCCCTGTGAACACCAAGGTTTTTCACAACTGTGTGCTTAGTCACTCAGTTGTGTCCAGCTCTTTGTGACCCATGGACTGTAGTATGCCAGGCTCCTCTGTCCATGGGGATTCCCAGGCAAGAATACTGGAGTGGGTTGCCATGTCCTCCTCCAGGGGATCTTCCCAACACAGGAATCAAACCCAGGTTTCCCCCATTGTAGGCGGATTCTTTACCAGCTGAGCTACCAGGGAAGGCCCTTCTTCACAACTGTGGGGCTTAGTAATCCTGCAGTTGCTGTCTAGAATAGGATCCTTCCCGACTCTCTGCCTGGAGAACTCTTCATCTCTCTCTGAACCCACCTCAAATACAAGAAACTCTATACTTCTCCGCAGCCAAACACCACCTCTGCCTCTTTGAAGACACCTTCTGACTCCTCTACTTTCTCTCCCTCTTCATCAATACTACACACATACACACGGCACTTCTTTTGTCTCTCACAGTGCTTCTTGACAGCAGAGTGCCAGGCTGAGCAAATTATGAAGGGGCTGGCAGCCTCAGCTGCACCTCTTACCTGCCAAGGCCAGTGCCAGGTAGTGGGTAATATGGTGGAAAATACATGATCCCTTCAAAGCCTAAAGGGTCATGTTTAATGCTGGGGGCTAAGGAGAAAAAGATTAAGATGGAAGCCTGGAGGAGGCTGAGGAATGGTAAAGCTGGCATCAGTGGCAGGTGAGCTTTCTAAAGACACCTGGATTGGGCTTTAAGGACAGAAAGAATTCATAAATGGCAGAGAAGAGATCTTTTTTTTTTTTTTAAAGAAGAGTTCTTATAATACTCTATTGCCTATAGTGTTAGCCGCTCAGTCATGTCCTACTCTTCGCTACCCCATGGGCTGTAGCTCACTATACTCCCCTGTCCATGGAATTCTCCAGGCAAGAATACTGGATTGCCATTTCCTTCTCCAGGGGATCTTCCCAACCCAGGAATTGAACCTGGATCTCCTGCATTGCAGGCAGATTTTTTTTTTTTTTTTTTTAATCATCTGAGCTACCAGGGATGCCCACTGCCTATAGGGCCCCATTTAATTTGGGAATTCTACTTCATGCCAGGGTAGGTTGCCAAATTTAGTAAATGAAAATACAGAACACCCAGTTAAATTTCAATTTCAGATAAACAGATGGTATTTTAGAAATGTACATCTCAAATACTGCATGGAACATAGGCATATTAATCAATTCTTTGTTTATCTGAAATTCAAATCTAACTGGGTGGTCTATATTTTAACTGGGAACCATACACCAGGAACAATCAGCTTCCTATGGGATTACCAAGAGACACTGCTCAGCAGTCCTGCCTACCCTTCCCCAAGCCCACAGCACACTAAGCCCCTTCCAGAGTATTCCAGATGTCAGACGGAAACATTCCTTGGTGCTCAAGTCCCATTCCTACAATGACAATGGGGGCCAGACTGACTTCCACAATCTTAGAGGGGAATAAATGAGACTCCCTCACTACCATAACACAGTGCTGGAGACCCCACAATGTCCAAATCCCAAGACGCCAAGCGCGAACATAATGGGCGCCTGTTCCCACAATACCAGGGAGAGGAAGCAAGAGCAAAACCTTAGGACTATAAGGAGCAGTCCCCACAGAGCCCTGCTACTGCAATTTCTCCCATGATGCCTTGGGCCTGTAACGACCACCTTCCAAGGCGCTCTCCGTCAAAGCACTCCAAGCTCCCAGGACGCTCAGCGGAAGGTGTGTGACAAAAGAGACGGTTCCCCGCAAGAAGCTAGGATAATCCTAGAATGCTCCAGACCCATTAACGACTAGTAGCCAAACTCCCACAATGCTTTAGGGCACGGCGTCCGGTTTTCCCAGGATGCCCCCAGAGCGGCACAGAGCCGCGTGGGGGGAGAAAAGGGAGCCTGGGTCTCGCCTTCGAGTCATCACGGCCCAAGACCGCTGCCGACTCCTCGGTGACGGGAGCCGTCACTCCCATCATGCAGCGCTGCCGTAGTGCCCGCTTCCCAGCATGCCCCGCGCACCTCCATCCCGGACACTCACCGGCGCTGGCGGCCCCAGTTCTGGCTCGGCGGCAGCGGCTGCACGCCCAGGCTCTGCGCCTGCGCTGCGAGTGGGGTAGGAGGGAGTGCGAGGGGCGTGAAGAGCCTAGGGCGCTTGCGCGACGAGATAGACCATTCCTGTCGCAGAGTGGGAAAGGGGGCTCTCTGGGTCGGGCCATCGATGAGGCTCGCGCAGGGGGTTCCGGGCTTTGCCCCTCGCTGTCCGGGTTTACTTGGTACAGTCCGCAGCCGGACCGAACTAGAAAAACGGCAAGGCTCGCGCGTGCATGAGCGCTCGCATGAACGCGCCTACGGATAATAGGAGAGAGTGGGGTGGGGGTGCCGGATCCTGGACCTGAGGCCTGCTCATTTGCATAATCTTAGTGTGGGAGGCTACGGCGACAATGGGAGGCCTAGGCCGCTGGAGGGGTTGATTTGCATATTCCCCTGAGGGGCCATACTCCGGAGCGCAGAGATTAGCATATGCGGGGCGTACTGGGGTAGGCATGGGGCGGGGCGGCTGACTTTAGCGCATGCGCAGAGGGACTGCGGACTAGCGCGAAGCGGGCATCCTCGGTGTAATCGGGATCAGTTTGCATTCGGTGTCTGGACACAAGGGACGAGACCCTTACCAATCCTCACAACCCTCCCTTCCCATAAGCAGGATAAACATTTATTGTTCTCTTGTGCTCGAGGGCACTATGGTTTCCGCAGCGAGCGTACCCAGCATCTATGCTGATGGCCTCCCAATCAAAGGAAGGAGATTCACATATAATCAGGATCACAACTGAGTGTTTAGGCTTGGGATGAGGTAGAGCAGAGGAAGCTGTGGGAGTCAAAGGAGGCGCACACCCCAGGAAGTCTTTGGCACAGGGAAGAGCAAGGACAAAGGCCTAGAGGCAAATTAAAAAAAAAAAAAAAAACAAACGTTGAATGGTTTGAGGAAGTGAAAGCAGTTTAGTTTGCCAGGAACACAGTCAGGGAGGGGAAGTTCCTCCAGGTGAAGTTAAGAGCTCAGACTTTACGTTGAGAGTATAGGAAGCTATTGCAGCATTCTTAAGTCTTCCTCAAAATGACTCACTTTCCAATTGAAAACTCTCCAATGAGATCCCATTACACTTGGAAAGAAAATCAAAGGCTTTATCAGGTCCCTGGGGCTTCCCTAGCGGCTCAGAAGTTAAAAAATCTGCATGCAATGCAGGAGACCTAGGTTCGATCCCAAGGTCAGGAAGATCCCCTGGAGAAGGGAATGAAAACCCACTCCAGTATTCGTGCCTAGAGAATTCCATGGACAGAGGAGCCTGGTGGGCTTCAGTCCATAGCATCGCAAAGAGTCGGACCGGACTGAGCCACTAACACTTTCACTTCCCTGGTAGCTCAGCGGGTAAAGAATATGCTTGCAATGTGGGAGACCTGGGTTTGATCCCTGGGTTGGGAAGAACCCCTGGAGTAGAAATGGCTGGAGAATTCCATAGAATGGGGTCTCAAAGAGTCTGACAGGACTGAGCAACTTTCACTTTTCAGGGGCTATACACCTGGTCTAACCCCACTCATCTCTGACTTCACCCCCATCCCCTCCTCTATCCACTGGGGTCCTGTCTACCTGAGCCTTACCATCTTAGGCACTTGCCGTTGCTGTTCCCTTTGCCTGAAAATGCTTTCTCCTCTGATCTTTGAATAACTGTTTGCTCATCATTCATATCCTGGCAGAGGTGTCAATCTGAGAGGTTTTCTCTGATGTTTCTGAGATAGCACCTCTGGATTGACTCTAGAGAAGTGAGTGGGTTATGAATAAAGCAGGATTGGCTCTCAGAGCCAGTGAGATGATTGCTGAAGCTGGGATTGACAGATGCATGGGGCTTAATTGTCCTGTTCCACTTTTGTATGTTTGATGTTTTCTATAGTAAGAAGTTAAAACAGTACCCCATATCCCCTTACTCTGCCTTTTATCTTAACAGTACTTGTGTGTGTGTGTGTGTGTGTGTGTGTGTACGTGTGTACTCAGTCATGTTCAACTCTTTGCCACCCCCTTTGACTGTAACCCCACCAAGCTTCACTGTCCATGGAATTTTCCAGGCAAGACTACTGGTGTGGGTTGCCATTTCCTACTCCAGGCGATCTTCCCGACCCAGAGATTTAACTGCCACCTCTTGGTGTCTCCTGCAGGCAGATTCTTTACCATTGCGCCACCTAGGAAACCCAACAGTACTTAAGGCAACCTGAAATTGAGTTTTGTTTGTTTTGCTTCCTTGCTGGAATGTTTTCCTCATAAAAGGAAAGAAGGCAAGAATGGAGTCACTCTTTCTCACTTTGGGTGCTCAGTGCCTAGAACAGGATCAAGTCTGTAGTTAGCACTAAGCTGTCTGGAACATCTAGCTTTTGCCTGTTTTATTCACCGTGGCATCTCCAGCCCTTTGAGCAGCACCTTGTACAAAGTAAGGTTAATATATTTTTTACTTGAAAATAAGAATCACTTGTTTGAAATTTAGATGAATGAATGAGGGGCCAGGAATGCCAGGCTCAGGAGCTTTGACTTGGTCTAGAGGTGAACAGAGAGCTGGCAGGGACAGGTTTTGACAGGGCAAAAGGTCAGTAATTGAAAGGTCCTATGGAGATTGATGTCAGGGGCGGGAATAAAGCAGGGGAAGTGTCCAGGCTATTGGGTGGGGATAGGGTAGCTCGGTGGCTACTGAAGGGACAAGACAGTGCTTTTTGGCTGAAAGACTGACCAGAAAAAACCCAGGTTTCTTGGGAGGGTGGAGGTGTCCTTGGAGATGTAAGGACCCTCTCCTGACTTATACAGTCCACCAGCAATCATCACCCTTCCTCCCCCCCCCCCACCCCTCAGTCCAGTACCCCTCCCAACATGGTGCAGGTCTGGGCAGAGGGACAGACACACAGCCACCCCAAAAACTTGTTCTCTCCTCAGTTTAATGGTGGTTAGTGGGATTGCCAAACCCCCTCCCCTTTCCCCTCCCCGCCCCATACAAAATGTGTTTTTTTGTTTTTTTTTTTTAAACAAGAAAAAGGGGGCAAAAGCCAGGAATGGGGGGAGGGGGTGCAATCTGATATTTTCATACAGATTTTTTATTTTTTTAATATATTATATATAAAACCATAGAGAGCAATGCACCCTCCCCCCAGACTCCTTTCCCCCTCCCCGGGGGGCCTGGAGGAGAGATGGGGAAGGCCCCCCCAGGAGTGGGTGGACAGAGACAAAAATGGATGGGACAGATGTGGGGGGGGAGGGGAGGAGAGCCCAGGAGCTGGGGAAAGGGGACTGGAGCAAAGTTGGGGCTGTCTCCCTCACCGCCCCCATCAAAGTTATGACACAAAGACACAGAATCCCTGTTTCCATGCCCTCCCCCCACCCTTACCCCCACCGTGCAAACATGGCTTTGCAAAGAGGTGCCCAGAGCTCTGTGAACTCCTACAATGGCTGGCATGGGGTCTGGAACCCCCAAAGAAATCTCTGTTCCCCTTCCCTGCCCACCCCACCCTTCCCAGAATGTGCCCCTCCCCACAAGACCTGGGACTGCAGCCTAGGGGCCTTGGCCTTCCCCCAGTTATCTTACCCCAACCCAATCCCTACCGCCCTCCCTGGACTTAAGGGGTCTGGACCTTTGGCCCTTGCCCCCACATCGGGGGACCCAGACCTCTGGGCCCGAGCTTCCGGCCCTTGTAGAGACCCAGGCAGCCAACACCCCCATCCCTGTCCAAGCGTCTGAGGTGTTAGTGGTGGGGGGAGAAGCCCACCATCCCAGACTCTGGTAAATGTCTTTGCAGCTGGCAGTGGGGTGGACCCCAGCCCAGGCCCAGGCCTGGGGTGGAGGTGGGGTCAGATGAAGAATTCTTCTTTCCTCTTGTGTCCATCGCTGCCATTGAGAAAGGCTTCTCTCGCTTCTCCCTGCTCATCTAGGCCACTGGCCTCATGGGTCAGATAGGAGCCTGAGGGGTGACAGACCCCCCCCCAGGCAGAGGCCACAGATACGTGTGGACCCAGGAGTTGGACGGGGAGGCAGACAAAATACATCAGATGAAGATGAAGAGATGGAACATACAGGTTGAGGGTCAAGTCCAGGGAAGAGCAAAACGGGCAGAGAAAGAGAGAAAAGCAGAATTAGGAGGACTTCACAAGTTCACTGAAAGATCAACCCTTATCCGTCCTCTAGGTGGTATCCCCTTGCTCTGCTCCCACCGAATTCGCCAATTAGGAATTCAAACGTACGCCCTTTATTCAGCTCCAACCCTTCACCCCTTTTAGGATCCTGGACCGAAAGACCCGCCTCTTTCGGGATCTGGGTCTCAAATTTCCAATCCTGGGTCTAGGCTCCGCCCCCTTGCCCTGGCTCTACGCCCGCCCTCTGTCGAATCGGGTTCTAGGCCTCACCCCCTTCTGGACGCCACAACCAACCACACCCGTCGCTGAATTTGACCCCGCCCCCACTCACCCTTCTGCCGTACCGAGCACCAGACCATGCCCACCAGCACACAGATGATCAGAAACACCAGTAGCGCCAGGATGCCGCCCACAATGGCGTAGGGCACCGACGTCTGAGCCTCTACCACCGCACCAGGGTCTGCCAGAGGGACAGGGCGCAGGCCCAGGTCATCAGAGGATGGTCCCAGCCCGGGCCCATAGCTGGCAATGTCTTAAACCATTCTGCACGCCACGTCCAACCGCGCCCCCTTATGTGCCACGCCTCGCAAATTACCGCCACCTGGTGGGCCCTTCCCCTGGAGCCTTTTTTTTTTTTTTTTCCAATTAGCAATAATTGCGCCTCGGATAAACCTCATTGGCTACAACACTGCCACTGAGCAGAGCTCCTGGCGCCATTCTTGATGTTATACTTCTTCAAGGAATGCGTGTTGGTTTGTACACTGCCTGACTTGGGCCCCAGTCATTTCGCTAATACTTACCTGCCTCCTCCCCCCAGAGAAAAAGAAATAGCACATCCTTTTTCTTTGACTTCAGACCTAAGTCTCTTCGCATCTTGTTTAAAACGCTCCAGGTATTTAAACCGCTGATCTAGGGCCCAGCCACTCCAAAATCCCTGCCGCACCGTCATAGGAGCTAAGCACATAACACTTCTTTGTGCTAGCGACCTCCAACTGCTTTCTATATTTAGCTCAAAATTCTTTACAACAACCCTGTGAGGTAGGTGCTGTTGTTTATTTCCACTTTACCGATGAAGAAACTAAGGCACAAAGTTACCTGCAACAGGACGCTGCAGAACTGAATCAACCCAGACAATCAATCAGTCTGGTCCCAGAACTATAAGAACTCTGTGGGCTTTTGACCCCCTGGAATCATTCTTTGCATAGGTCGGCGCCTCAAACACCATCGAATCCATCCTGCCTGTTCCCAAGGCCCAGTCCCACCCAGGACGGCGAGGAGACCCTGGGGGGCCTCGTCCCTACGCTGAGCCCTGCCCTCAGGTCCTCACCGTAGACCACGAGCACGTAGAGCGCCCTCGCGTGGCCGTGCTTGTTCGACGCCTCGCAGGTGTAGGTGCCATTATCCGCGGATACCAGGCCCGGCAACGTAAGCGTCTCCCCGACTGCCTCCGCCCGCTCGGGCAAAGACTCATTACCGCGGTTCCAGCGGATCTGGTTAGGCCTGGGCGGGGATATAATGAGAGGTAGGGACGCAGGTGTCAAGACCCAATTCTGACGTCTCAGAAATCTAGATATGTGATATCTCCAAATAAGAGAATCCTTACTAGACCTTTCCTTCCTTGAAAACCAAGAGTCCCGAGCCCAACTTCCACCCATCAGCAGGATCTCAGGAAGCCTAGCCCCACCCCCACCCCCAGCCTCTTCCACCCTGAGAACCCAGGACACTGGGGACCCACAGCCTCCTTCCTCACCATCTAGCCCCAGATCCCTTCTTTCTCAGGATTCAGAAGGCTGGGTCTCAGCCCCCTCTGTTCTTCCAGCTTCAGGTGTCCAGGTCACCTATTCTCCGCAGGACCCAGGAATCTCGGACCCCAAAGCTCACCTGGGGTTCCCCGTCACAGCACACGTCAGCACCAGTGTGTCTCCCTCCCTCACCACAGCTTGGGAGGCATGGATCCGGGCCGTGGGGGAGTCTGTGGGCAGGAGTGAGATGGGAAAGTGGTTATCTGGGTTATGCAGGACTAGGAATTCTTCCGGGGACAGGTGGCAGGCGCATTGAAACCCTCTTTCCCCGCCGGGCGCTGGCCTGCCAGGCACTTACACTGCACGTCCAGCACGTACTGCGTCTGCTTGCTGTGTCCAGAGGGTAGCGCCTGGTTCTGCGCCTCGCAGATGACGATACCGCCATCATCCTTGCGGTCTACACGAAACCGCACTGTGCTTGCCACGCTCCAGACCTTGCCATTTTCCTGGCCGCTGGTCACTCCTGCCAAGCCCCGCCCAGAAACCGTCAAGTCAGGGCCATGGCTCCGCCCACTGAAGGCACAACCTCCCACCTGGCCAATCCTAAAGCAGGCTATTTGCCAAGCTCCACCCCTTACCCACAGCCTCGCCTCTAGTCCTCCGAACCACGCCCCTCTCCAAATCAGGCCCACAACCCCGTGTCTCTTCCCAAAGCTCCTCGCTCTCTCACCCCACGCCCTCTCATCTAATAATTCATTCAATGGGTATATATTGAGTAGTGGTTTAGTCGCTAAGTCATGTCCGACTCTTGCGACCCCATGGACTGTTAGCGCGCCAGACTCCTCTGTCCATTGGATTTTCCAGGCAAGAAGAATGGAGTGGGTTGCCATTTCCTTCTCCAGGAGATCTTCCCAACCCAGGGATTGAACTTGGGTCTCCTGAGCTGCAGGTGTTCTCCTGCGTTACAGGCAATTTCTTTACCAACTGAGCCACCAGGGAAGCCCAATATATTGAGCAGTAGTGTTCGCCAAACCCATGCACTCTTCCTCAAGCCCCATCCATATATAAACAAGCCTTTCCCAAGCTACACCTCCTGGAACCCTGTCTCATAAGTCTCGCCCCTCTCCAGCCCACTCCCATCCCCACCACCAGGTTGTACCTTTCAGTTCCTTTCGGTCCCGGTACCAGCGCAGGAGAGCAGCCGGGCGGGACCGTGGAACAAGACAGCTGAGCTCCACCTCGCCGCCCTCCACCGCCTGTTCCCGGACCTCCACTATAGGGTTCTCCGGGGCGACTGCCACAGGGAGAAGGGGACAAGAGGGAAGTCAAGAGAGGGACCAAGGTGGGCTCAGAGTAACCGAACTGCAGGGTTCCAGGGAGCAAGGGGAACAAAGCGTCAAACACAGAGGCCAAGGGCCGGGGAGACCGGCTGTATTTACTGGGAGCAGATGTCCAGGAGGTTAAAAACAGCCAGGGTCAAGTCTCAGGATAAGGGATGAGCAAAGGAGAAAGGAGACAGGCTGGATCTGAGGAGGGGGAGGCCGATACCCAGTACAGTGAGCGTGGCAATCTGGTGGTGGGTGTCCTCCGTGTAGAGCTGGCAGAAGTAGCCCCCCTCGTCCTCCAGGCGAGCATCTGAGAGCCGGATCCGTACCCGGCGCGGGGAGAACTCCTCAAGCTGGAAACGCTCATCCTTCAGGGCTAGAGAGTGAAAAGGTGGGAGTGAACTTGGGGAATCCGTACCTCAGAAGTCCCACCTTTCCTCCAGGAGCTTACAGTTTGTCCCTCTCTTTTCTCCAGCCACACCCAGGTGTCTAAGGTGCCCACCTAGTTACTCTCTTGGGTACCCAGAATGTTTCAGGCCCTCTCACCCGACCAGGAGTCCAGGCCCCAGCCTCCTCCTCCCTCAGATCCAGGAGACCAGAGTCTCAGCTCTGTCTTCAGTCAGTCCCAGCCCTCTCCTCTTCCAAGACTCAGGCTCTGGAACCCCAGCACGCACCACGGGTACCATTGAAGAAGAGGGTCTGCCGGGCGGGGTTCTGAATGACAACTATGGATCCATCATACTGGTGCAGTCGGCAGGTTATCTCGGCCACCCCGCCCTCAGCCACTGTCACATTCTCCGTCTGTACTTCCTGTCCTGCCCCTGGACCAGTAGACAGAGAAACAGGGTAAGAGACTCATTGAGGGGTACAATTCAGTCTTTGCTCTCTCCCTCGGATCCTCACCCATCCAAACTTCCAATACCTCTCCTTCCCCTCCCATGCAGTTCATTACACCCAACGTTTCCTGTGGGCTGGAATCCAGGAGACGGATAAAACCTGCCCCCTGCTCTAGAGGAGCTGCAGTCAAGATCCAGTGGCTCTAAGGAGTGGGTGGGTGGGGGAGCACAGGTCATACTGGGAGCCCAGAGGAAGTGGAGACTAAGAGCACCCAGGGAGATAGTGATCAGAGAAGATTCTAGAAGAAAGCTCCACTGGATCCACATTTTAAAGCGTGAGCAAATATATAAATAAATAAAGAGTGAGCAATCCACTGGGTATGGGAAACTGTTGTGTGTTCACCAAACCCTATCTTTCACACCTGAGCACATGTTTTAACTTGTCTGCAGAGATGGGCAAGATATTCTTCCCATTCCTGTAGAGTTAAGTTTGCTGCTCTTCCCATTTTTTTTTTTTTTTAAGGCTATGTAGCACAGCTTGTGGGATCTTAGTCCCCCAAACAGGGACTGAACCCCCACCCCCTGCAGTGGAAGTGTAGAATCTTAACCACAACCACTGAACCACCAGGGAAATTCCTGCTGCTCTTCCCATTAACAAAGCACTCTGACCCTGTGAATCTGGGGAGGGCTTGTGACTTGCTTTGATCAACAGAATTTGCTAGAAGTGATACTGAATGAGTTCTGGAGCCTAGATCTCAAGAGACCTCACAGCTTCCACTCATGCCCTTTCGCTGCTCTGACACTGTTGGGTGAAGATGCCCGGGCCAGCCTCCTTGAGGACGAGAGACCACATGGAGAGAGAGAAGCCCAGCACCAAATGCCAGCCAAGGGAGTCAGGCCATTCTGGACTATCCAGCCCCTGTGGCATCACCGGGTGACTGCAGCCACATGAGTGACCCCAGTTCAGACCAAGAGAAGAAGTGTCCAGTTGATCCAATCCAAACTGCTGACTCCCAGAGTCATGAGCAAAAACATAATTGCTGTTCAAAGTCACAATGTTTTGGAGGGACTTCCCTGGTGGCTCAGATGGTAAAAGCATCGGCCTACAATGCAAGAGACCTGGGTTCGATCCCTGGGTTGGGAAGATCCCCTGGAGAAGGAAATGGCAACCCACTCCAGTATTCTTGCCTGGAAAATTCCATGGACCGAGGAGCCTGGTAGGCTACAGTCTATGGGGTCGCAGAGTCGGACACGACTGAGCGACTTCACTTCACTTCACTTAACATGGCTAAAGTTTAACTGGTACAACACACTGAAGTAAAAGTCACTCAGTCATGTCCAGCTCTTTGTGACCCCATGGACTGTACAGAATTGAATTCTCCAGGCCATAATACTGGAATGGGACTGTACAGAATTGAATTCTCCAGGCCATAATACTGGAATGGGTAGCTGTACCCACTCCAGGGGATCTTTCCAACCCAGGGTTCAAACCCAGGTCTTTCACGTTGCAGGCAGATTCTTTACCAGTCCCTTCAAGGGACAACACACTATTAGGCTACATTTCCTAGGATCCCTTGCGCTTCCGTGGGGTCCCATGACTGATTTCTGGCCAATAGGCTGTAGGCAGAAGAAAAACACCTCCTCCAGCCTGGTTCATCTCACCCGAAATCCTTCATGCTGGCAGAATGGGGGGGACCCCTAGGAGCCCAGAGGAGAATAGGATTATGAGCTGGAAGGAGTCCGAGGCCCTGACCTTCTGCCCCATGTTACCTACCTGCAGAGGACTTGTAGCATGAGCGAGAAATACATTTTTTGGTTAAGCCATTGAGATTGCAGGGCTGTTGTTACAGCACTTAACTTACTCTGATTAATCCATCAGAGGAATGAAGTAAGGGATTAGTAAGGGGGTGTTTCCAGCCAAGTAAACAGTGCAGAGTAAAGCTCAAAGCTGAGATTAATCATCACCAGCATCATCAATGTCACTGTCATCTTCAAAATAACAATAACCATCATAGCAACTGTTTATTAGGCAATTTCTGTTCCAGGCTTTGTGCTAAGGGCATTACCTATATAATTTCCACTTAATCATCACAATACCTGAATAAGGGAGGCACTATTATCAATCCCCATTTTTTTCTTCAGTTCTCATTTTTTAGGTGACAAAATTTGTTCCAGAGCGAGAAAATGACTTGGCCAAGGTCACAGCCTGAGAGTCTCCCAATTCTGCCTCGAGGTCTCCCAATTCTGCATCCTGCACCCACACCCACTTCTGCTTGTCTGGGTGAAAGGTGTCCAGCATTGGTGAGGACTATGGCATGTGCTTGTGAAGGGTCTCAGCCAAGCTACAAGATCAGCTTTTATCCTGAAGGCCAGGAACTGAAGCAGGAAAGGGCCATGATCAGATTTGATTATTCACTTTTTTTTTTTTTTGGCCATGCCATGCAGCACATGGGATCTTAGTTCCTTGACCAGGGATCAAACTTGTACCCCCTGCACTGGAAGCAGGGAGTCTTTTTTTTTTTTCACAGTTCTACCACTTTATTGCTACCAACCCATCTCCCTCCACCCTCGTGCATACATGCTCAGTCATGTAACCCCATGGACTGCAGCCCACCAGGCTCCTCTGTCCATGGACTTTTCCAGGCAAGAGTACTGGAGTGGGTTGCCATTTCCTTCTCTGAAGGCAGGGAGTCTTAATCACCAGACCACCAGGGAAGTCCCTGGTTATTCACCTTTAAATTCTGGATAACTATTCTTTCATATCTCTTACATTCTGTCTCATTCATTCATTTGTGCTGCAGGGAGGTTTTTGGGGGCTAGGTGCCCAGGGATGAGTCAGGTGAGGTCCCTGTCCCGGAAGGCCTTCAAGATTTATGGGGAGGTAGACATAAATCACTGTAAAATCCCATCAGAAGTGTTTCAGTCCCTGTAAGAGGGATAGGTAACCTGATTTGGGGGCTGAAGGGTGGAAAAGATTAATTCCGGAGGGCAGGAAGAAAGCAGAGACAGCTAGCTTCCTAGTCAGTATACACTCTTCCCTTTCTCTTTAGTAAAAGAATCCTGATTGTATTTTATGGTTGCCCTGTGCTGTGCTCATCAGCTAAGTCATGTTCAACTCTTTGCAGCCCCACACCATGGACTGTCCAGTCCACCAGGTTCCTCAGCCCATGGGATTTTCCAGACTAGAATACTGGAGTGGGTTGCCATTTCCTCCTCCAGGGGATCTTTCCAACCCAGGAATTGAACCCATATTTCCTGTGTCTCCTGCATTGGCTGGTGGATTCTTTACCACTGAGCCACCCGGGAAGCCCTTACGGTTGCCCTACATCCAGCAGAAAGAGAATTTTCCCAGACTCCCTTGCAGCTAAGTGAGGCCGTGTGATAAGTTTTGTCCGACTAGATATCAGGAAAAGTGTCCTGTGATCATTTGAGGGGACTTTTAAAAAAATTATTTTTGCTATGCCAGGTCTTAGTTGCAGCAAGTCAACTCTTAGTTGTGGCATGTGGGATCTAGCCCCCAGACCAGGGATCAAACCCAGGCTCCCTACATCAGAAGCATGGAGTCTCAGCCACTGGATCACCATGGAAGTTGCAAGCAGACTTTTTAAAGAAAGGGGACAAGTCCTTTTTCCACCTGGTCACCTTTGTGCTGCCTGAAACTAGGATGTGATGGAGTTTGGGAACTGAGAACTGGAAGATGCCTGGGTCTCTGGTGATGATGTGGAGCTGTCATAAAAGCCTCAGATACCAACTTCCAGCTTCTTTTACCTTTGAATGTAATGTTTTGTGAATTTAAGGCCCTCTTAGGGGGTTATCTAGCACTTTCCTGAATAGCAATCTTAATATGTCCAATCCTGGCACCAAACATTTTCCTTCCCATGTTTTCTCAGTCTCAGTAAATATCACAACCTGGTTGCTCAGGCCAAAACACCTAAAAATCATCCACGTTTTCACCCTTTCCCTCATCTCTAACACCCACTACATCAGCAAAATCTATCCATTCTGCTTCTAAAATATATCCCAAACCTGTTCACCTTTGTCACATCATCCAGTGACACTATCTCTGACCCGGTCCTTCAAGAGCTACTTGTGAGTCTCCCTACTTCCACACCTGCCTCCCCACAAGACCAGTCTTAACACATCAGCTGGATAGTTGCAGTGCGTGGGCTTTTCCTGTGGTGGAGCACAGGCTCTAGAGTGCGCAGGCTCAGTAGTCACAGCTCATGGGCTTAGTTGCCCCGAGGCATGTGGAACCTTCTCTTAGACCAGGGATCAGACCCAGACCTCCTGCATTGGGGGCGTGGACCACCATGAGCCACTGGACCACCAGGAAAGTCCCCAGAACTCTATTTCATTACCACTGTTTTATATCCTGTATGGAACTTTCACTGAAATTGTTTTATTCATTTGCACACTTGCTGGTTGTCCCCCATTACTCGAATATACACCCCATGAAGGCATGATTGTAATCTCTTGGGTTTGTTGATGCACCCTAGTGCGTGGAAGTGTGCTTGACCCTTGATAAATGTCTGGGGAGACTGATGCCTGAATCTCATGTGCTAGGCATTTCAGCCTCACGACAACTTTGTGACATGACATTATTCTCATCTTAAACACTTGGGTTGATCCCAGCTGGACCACTTGCCATCTGTGTGACCTGGGACAAATGGCTTAAACTTCTTGAGGCTCAGATGCCCCGTTTGTAAAGTGGGGATGACGCCAGGGCCTGATTCACAAGAATCAGCCCAGAACCTGAGGCTCAGGGAGCCCTCTGTGCTGCTGTTATTACAACCTCCAGAAACATGCTTATTCCTGTGAAAACTGAACTGGCCTGTTTGCACATCCAGGCACTTTTTAAAAAAACATCTTGAAGGCTATTCGTGGATCCTGGTCCTCAGGACTAGCCCTAGGGCTAGCCCCCCATTTTACAGATGCAGAGAATGAGGCTCAGGGGTCCCAGACAAGTCAGTGGCAGAAACTCAACATCTCTTGGGAGCCTTCAGGACCTCTGGGTCTGCAACCCACCCCCCAAACGTATCCCCTGCTCTCTGCTTGAGGGAGCACATGGGGTAAGGGTGGGGGGCTTTTGTTTTATTCCCTCCCCCTCCTGAGGAGTCAGTAACCAACAGTGTCTGTGCCTGGAATATTAATGTCCCAGGAGCTTTTGTTTCGGGGTTGGGGGGTGGTGAGGCAAGATTTTCTGGTCAGCGAGGGGTTGAGCTTTGGTGACTGGGGCACTGGCCCTTTAAACTGCCTGGAAAAAAGGGACTAGGGAGGGTTTGGGAAAGAGTGGCTGAGCAGGTGATGTGTAGAGACCCAGAATCCAACACTCTCCTCCTTTAGACCCAGGAATCCAGACCCCCAACTGCCTCCTCTCCCAGGATCCGGGAGTCCCAGGTCCTAGCTTCCTTCTCCATCAGGATCAAGAATCTGGGTTCTCAGCATCTCCCCTCAAATCCAGGAGTCGCAAGCGCCCAGCCTTCTCCCTCCTCAAACCCAGGATTCTGGGCCCTCAGCCCCCTTTTCCTTCAGGAACCAGGGGTCCAGACTACACAGCTGGTGGATGCTTCCACGGAGACTAAAGAGAGTGGGGGGAGCACTTCCTGGGTCCTGAGTCAGCGAATACCCAAGGGAGTCTCAAGGTCACAGTTCCGGGAAGGTCACAGCCGCCCCCTCCATAGCCTCTCCCCAGGGGGCTCATGGCATCCTGCCTCCTCCTCCCCATCCTCCCCTAGGGAGGTGGTACATCCCTGCGTCCTGACCGAACCCCCCCCCAGCCCCCCATCAATGGCGGAGTCCGAACATCCTCACACAAAGCATCAATTCTTCCCCAGCTCAGCCTTGTGAAGGCGCCTGTATTCGCAGGACCTAGGCATCAGGGTCCCAGCCCCTCCTCCTCCCTCAGAAACCTGGAGTGGGACCCCCACCCAGGACTTCCTCTCTCCAGACTCAGGAGTCTGCACTCGCGCCCCACCCTCCATCAAGACCCAGGAGTCTGGGATCCCAGTGCCCATCTCTCTCTGGACCCAGGAGTTCAAGCCCCCCAGCCCCCTCCTCCCTCAGACCTAGAGTCCAAGACCCCAGCCCCTCCTCACCCTAACACAGAACCCCTAGACTTCTGCTCCCTCAGACCCAGGACTCTAGGCCCCCAGCTCCAGGATCTCCTGGGAACTTTTGGCTCCAGGGCCACAGCTGTCAGCCCCCCAGAACCACAGCCTTGACTCCCCAGGCCTCTTGTCCCCCTTCCCTCTGTGAGGCAAGCATCAGGTGGGGGCGTTGGGGTGAGTCAGCAGCCTCGCATACAAAGTTCCCCCTGTGGCCCCCACGTTCCTGGGATATTCAGAACTCCCTGGATTCCGGGCCTCCAGCCCAGTCAGGGGGTGGGAGAGTCCTCCGGAGGTTCCCCCTGGGTGTGGGGTCAGGGGAAGAATTCCTGCTCCGGGAAGGGTGCACTGAGCCCTGGCTGTCTTCTCTTCCACCCCCAGCACCCTCTATATTCACCCCAGTCCAGAAGAACCCGGGCTCTGCCGCCGCCCTCTTGCCCCACTAGGTGTCTGCTCAGGCGCCTCTGTGCCTGGTCCCTCTAGAGGACCTAGGGGCCTGGGGTCTGCACAGGCGGGAGCCAGTGGGTGCTCGGGTCGTGCTGCCACAGGCCACTGGGCACTGGCGAGTCCGGCCCCCCACCCCCACCCCACCCAGAGAGAGAAAGCTGCCTTTGTGTTCCCCAAGACGGGGACAGGCCAGGCTCGCACGACATTAACCCACCCCGGGCCCCAGCCCTGCTGCGTCTAAGGTCTTGGAATCCCTCGGGGAACCTGACCCCCTGCTCTGGGGACACAGGCATCCAGCTCATGGGTGGGTGGAGGCCAGAGGCAAAACCCTGCTTCTCAGAGTGGCCGGCCCAAACTTTACGAGGTGGGGAAGAGTGAGTCCCTACGGTGGGAAACATTATTCAGGATTAACAAACTCTCCCTCCATCAGCACCCCCCACCCCACTCTTAATAGCCTCTTCATCTTTTCTTTGGATCTGGAGGTCTGTTTCCCGTGCTCCCTTCTGGGCCATCCAGTCCCTGGCCTGTGGGTCTCTGTTTCTGCCTGCCTGCATCTCTGGGCAGGCAACCCATCCATCTCTCAACCCCTCTTGCCCGCCCACCCTGGACCCTTCTTTCTATTGGCATACATATCATCATCCTTTTCTGATATTGCTGGTAGATAAGGGAACCAGGGAGAAGAGAATACATTTTTGAAAGGGTGTAAATGAACCCCAGCTCCTGTCCCCACTCCTGCTGGCTGGCCAAGGTGAGAGGGGAAGGGGAGTGACAAAGAGGGGAAGGTGAGGACCACGGACACCACCAAGAATCCGGTGGCCAAAGCCATTCAGAAATAGCCAATGAAAAGGAAAGCAGGCAGGGCCCCCTGGGATCAGATACTTCAGCTGCCTACCCCACGCTTTACAGGAGGGGAAGTGAAGCTCAGAGTGGGGTGGGGCAGGGGCAGACCCAGAACTACACCCTAGCCGGTTGCAGAGTGCTTCCCATGACACCTAGCTCTCTCCCAACTGGTAAAGTCCCCCGTCATTTCATCTAGAGAAAGTTGACAGAAGGGATTAGGGCACCAGGAAGCAGAGACTTTAAAACCACAGGAGGGACAAGCCTGGAGAGCTCCCTCCCAGAAGAGCTGGTGAAAAGATTCTGGACCTGGGGAGGTGGTCCTCTTAGGCAGTATTCGGATTCTGAGAATCCAATCTCCCACGATTCTAGACCTCAGATGTGTCAAGATTCGGGATCTCCGAGAGGTAAAGGTTTCAGAGTTTTGAAGGTGTCAGGAGGCTAGAATGCAAATGCCAGCGAGGCTCTAGAATTTTAAAGGTGTCAAGAGTCTAAAGACTTTGGGCTTCTGGAAGCCAGTGGTTCTAAAACCTCAGATTCTCTGTTCACTGGATTCAATGGTTCTAGGAGTCTATGAGCTGGCCTAACAAAGAAAGAGAAACAAAAGTGGATGGAGATGTAGCTTAAGTACTAAAGTGCCCATCTGGGAAATTGTGGCTTGTCTGCCACAAAGCAAGGAGGTAATGGTGAAAGTTCTGAAGCGATGACAGAAGACTACAGCAGAAAGCAAGGTGGAGGGTGACAGGCCCACTCTCAGCCCGTCACTTTGCCCTGAGGAGGGGAGAAGCACACACAGCTCTGAAGTGGGGAAGGTGTCACTGCACCCAACTTGCCAGCAACTCCTTCGCGTGTCCAAGCTGGAGTTCCTTTCCTTTCAGGTCACCGAGTTCAACACCCTCACTTTACAGAAAGGCAAACTGAGGCCCCAAGAGAGAAGGGTGCTTGCCATTGACTATGCTGGCAAATGGCATGAGCCAGAATTTAAACCCAGGCAGGCCCCCAAACCTGTGCCATCTGGTCACAGCTCCCACATTTCTACAGGACCTCCGGCCCTCCCACTTCTGCTCAGCTACCTCCCTGTTATCCGTTCCCCACCACCCCAAGTGGCTTCCCCCACCAGGGAGAGGGTGACTGGTGGCAGGAACCAGGCACACACAATGTGAGAGTGTGAGTGTGGGGGGTGACATTTCCTGACCTTGTCCTGGGTCTCAGGGTCACCCTGTCTTGGAGGACTCCAGCTTTTCACAGTGCATGATAAGGGTATGTGGAGGGCTCCCTGGATGTCCTGGAGGGGGCTTTTCTGTAGATAGTGGCCTGGGTGTGTGAATGGTTGGGGAGGGGCAGCGTTTGGAAGGCATCTGTTGGATCCACGTGTGTGCCCACATGCCAAGGTTCCCCACACACTTCTTCTCATACACACACACACACACACATATGCACACATTTCCCTCCAGGGCCCTTCAGGATGCCCTGCCTGACTCAGTTCCTCTCCAGGGGCACAGAGAGATGCAGAAATGAAGGATGGTGATGGGGAAGTCCAGGATGGAGGATGTGACGGTAGACAGGGGCAGCAAAGAGACCGGGGACAGGGACACAGTGGGACAGACAGACAGGAGAGAGTGGGGAATGAGGCAGACAGATGACAGGGAGGGCTAGAGAACCAGGAATGACAGAAGGAGAGGGGACGAGGGAATGGGACAGATGGGGGACAGAGCAGCAGGGGTGACAGAGATGGGGCAGGGAGGGAGGGCAGAAATACAGGGGCACAGAGCAGGGAATGGAGAGGATGCTGGGGGCGGGCAGAGTGACCCAGTGAAAAGGGACAGGGACCAAGGGACAGAGGTGGGGGACAAAGACAGGCTAGAGAGCCAGGGGACAGGGAGACAAGGAGACAGGGGGACAGACGGAGAGACGGACAGTCTTGGAGACAGAGGGACAGAGGACAAGGGTAGGGGGACAAGGAGAGAGACTGAGGGACTCAGAGACGGGCGGACAGAGGGACACTGGGATCGGACAGAAGGACAGCGGGGCCGGCCTCGAGAAGGCTAGCTTGGGGCTGGAGGGGGGTCTCGGGCCCTTTGTCCCTGCCGGGATCAGGGCCTGTGCGGGGTTGGGGGGGCTGCGGCACGGTGGCCGGGCCTGCGCCCCCTCCCCCGCTCGCGGCTCCCGGCTCGCGGCTCCCGGCCCGCGCTGCGCTTTGTCCCGGGGAGGGGGGCCCGGTGGGGAGTCGGAGGGGGAGCTGCGCCCGAGAGCTCCGGGGCCCCGGGGGCGGGGGCGAGCAGGGGGCGTGTGTCGGGGGGACCCGCGGCCAGAGAGTGCGGGCGCTGGGTGAGGACAGAAGTGGTGGGCGATGATGCGGAGGGGAGCGCGGGCAGGTGCTGTGAGGGGCAGTGTGTCGTAGGAAAGGTGGGGGTGCAAGGATGCGCCGAGGTGCGGGTGGGTGCGGAGGGGAGGGAGTTGAGTGAGGATGTGTGTGAGGCTGTGAGCGTCCAGGGAGAGGGAGTTTGCTGGGGAAAGTGAGTGGGAGAGGTGCTCCCCGGACAGGTAGAGGTATTCCGTGGGTGAAGGTGAAGGGGGGTGCACATATTCCACAGGGGAAGTGAACGTATTCTGGAGGGGTAGTGAAGGTGAAGGTGTGAGCATGGAGTGGGGTATAGGAAAGGTGAGAGTGAGACGTAGTCTGTGGACAGGTGAGTGTGAGGTTGAGAGTGTCATGTGACAGGCTGTGAGCTGAGCCACCTTGAGAGCGAAGGCAACAGCCTGCTGTCTGGGCAGGTCCTGGACCTCCCAGGGCAGGGCTAGGCTGGGCTGGGGTCAGGTCTCACCCTTCCACCGGTCCTCACCCGGAAACTCCGTGTTTCTGCATCATTCCTGGGGTGGGAGAGGCTCTGGTGGACGCCCAAGCGTCTAGCCTCCCCACCCTGCGTCCTTACTCTTCCAGCCTCGACTGTCTATGTGCTCTCCCATCGTTGGTGCTGACTCACTCCTCCAGACTTGGGTCCCTTTTCCCTCCTGGGAGGTGAGTCTCCCCGAGCCCCCTTCTGTGGGACTTTGTAGACCTGGTGCAGGGTTATCAATCACCCTTATGAGCCAGGAAGAGTGAGAAACCATAGAAGGTAGGAGACTTCAACCTCTTCTACCATCATTTGACAATCAGGGAAACTGGGATATGCCAAGTATGAGAATGCTTTATCTCCATCACTACCCCAAACTCCTCCATTCAGGCACTCCATCGGACTTCAGCTCCTGGTATCCTTCCTGTTCTTAGTCCCCAGCATCCTCTCTCTCAATGGGGCCCAAGCTCCCATCAGTCTCTATGTGCCCAGGACTACAGCTCCAAGTGACTTCTTTCCAATTCTCAGTTTACCTTTCTGTAAACTGGAGAAGGGTGTTGGGTTGGATAATCTCCAGTCCTCCCACAGCTCACAGTCTGTGTGTTGAGATAGGTGGGAGAGAGGTGTCCAACCTGGATTTAGGATACTGGGTTACGGAGTAGCTAAGGGTTGTCTTTCCTCTCAGGAACCTATAGGTCCCCCACTCATGGTTCTAACCAGTGTCTCCTACTCCAACTCCAGGGAACCCTGGAGGATGTTGGTTTGGCTCTCATCTGTCTTTTTTGGGCCCCACCTTTTCTTCCACATGAGGTTGTCCTGTTCCAGTCCTACTCCAAGTTACTGTATCCATTGGGATTTTCATGCAAGTGACGGAAAATTCAACCCAACTGGCTTAAGAAAAAGAGGATTGTTTCACATATAAAAAAGTCTTGGGTATGATTGACTCCAGCATGATCTGTCCTAAGGATAAATGGCCCCCTTATGTAGTAGGGTGACTGGTCAATACCCCTGCGACCACATATTTGGGGCTTCTTATTTGCAGAGGGGTAGAGAGAGAAAAGGGCTTTCCAGGTGGCACTAGTGCCTGCCAATGCAAGAGATGCAGGTTTGATCCCTGGGTCAAGAAGATCCCCTGGAGGAGGGCGTGGCAACCCACTCCAGTATTTATGCCTGCAGAATCTCTTGGACCTCTGAGCCTGGCAGGCTACAGTCCATGGGGTCGCATAGAGTCAGACACGAATGAAACCACTTAGCACACACTCACATAGGTATATACCTGAGCTTCCCGGGTGTCGCTGGTGGTAAATAATCCGCCTGCCAATGCAGGAGATGCTAGAGATGTGGGTTCAATCCCTGGGTTGTGAAGATCTCCTGGAGTAGGAAATGGCAGTATTCTTCAGTATCCTTGCCTGGAGAATCCCGTGGACAGAGGAGCCTGGCAGGCTATGGGTCATAAGGTCGCAAAGAGTGGGCCACGACTAAAGCGGCTTAGCACAGCACATAGCACAGAGAGAAAAAGACAGGCAGACTGAGAGAGCCAGGCTGTGGGATCCTGAGCAGAGATAAGAGACTTGAAGAAGCTCCTTCAGCAGAATGAGGAAATATTTTTTTTCCTTAGAACCCTCCTTGAAACCTTCCATTGGGTCTCCTTGGTCCAGATAATGCCACCTGCCTATTACTGAACCAACATCAGTGGCCAGGAGATGAGATGAAACTGATTAAATTAGATATGAGCCACAGGCTCCCTCTACCCCCAGGTCAGAGGTGAAATTAGATTTCTCAAGCAGAAGTAGATACTGGGGAGACAGTTGCTGTCCCTGCTATTTTGGGTGGCAGGGTGGGCTGCGCACTGTGGGCTTGACCATTCTTGGGTTTTTGAAGTCTTGGGATGGTTCAGAATTTGTTATTTGTTTTCTCAGCATCGTTCTGCAAGATAATAGAAAATATATTGGCCTCTGCCCCTGGTTCCTGACACAGAGCTCCTGAAACCCTTGTAATTACGTAAGTGATAAGAACACCAGGAACAGCTTTTGTTCTAATATTTAGTCTTTGACCCTAGCTCTCCTAACTCAGGTCTCCTGAAAGCCTTGTCATTTCTTGGGTGATTAGAGTGTCTTTTGTTCTAATATGTGACTTATGGTGGACTCCTAAATGAGGGCTGGTACCCAAAAAGACCCAACTATGATAACAAACTTGAGATTTTCAGCTCCACTCCCCATTCTCTTGAGACGGGAGAAGGAAAATGGAGCAAAGGATCCATGATGCCTTCGTTATGAAGCCTCTGTAAAAATCCCAACAGTATAGGGTTCAGGGAGCTTGTGGGTTGATGAAGTGACACGCATGAAAAGAGAATGGAAGCTGTATGCCCCTGGGCACAGACCTTGCCCTGTGCATCTCTTCCATCTGACTGTTCGTCTGTATCCTCTATCATATTCTTTTATAATAAAGGTAAGTCACTATTTTCCTGAATTCTATGAGCCACTCTAGTGGGTTAATCAGACCTGAAGAGGGGATCATGGGAGCCTCTGGTTTGTAGCCGATTGGTCAGAAGCACCGCAGTCTGGACTTCTGATTGTCATTGGAAGTGGAAAGTATGGGACTGAGTCCTTAATCTGTGGGATCTGAGGCTACTTCTGGGTAGACAGTGTCAGAATTATGTCATAGAGCAGCCAGCCAGGGTCACAGAGAATTTCCTGGTGTGGGGAAGCACTCCCCACATTTGATGACCTGAAGTGCTGTGAGTGTGATCCTAGTGTGAGAGTCAAGGAGAAACACAGAAGAAAGACACAGTAGGGAAAAACCGAGTTGTTCCCTCTACAGAAAGAAGACTGGGTGGGCATTTCCCCCCAGTACACGTTCCCTCCTCCTTTGTCCTTTCCTAAGAGAATCCTGATTATGTTCAGGCATCAACTTTTCTTTAACAGCCAGCTGATGTGCGGGAAGTCCTAGGAGTAGGGTCTGAATATACTTTGTTAAATAGTGTGGCTCCATGCCCACTTCCAGTGCAAGGGGCGGGGCATGAAACAAATCAGGCAAATAAAACGCGGGAAAGGCAAGTCACCCTGAAGTTTGGGGATAAGCTTTCTTTGTTTTAAAAAAGAAGAGAAGAGATGGCCCTTTGTTATTGCTTCCAAATGTGGGTGTGATGCCTGGAACTGCAGTGGCCTTCTTGGGGCCATGAGGCAGATATGCTTGAATGGATCCTTTAGGACATAATGGAAACATTGAATAAGTCAAGCCAGGAACTGCTCTAACTCATGATCTCTTCTATGAGATCATCAATTTCCTCTTTGTTTCAACCATCTTGAGTTGGGTGTCCTTTTAAATACAGCCCTGACTGCCATATTGCCTGCAATTCAGATAGAATACATGGAGGCAGCCCTGCTTACATATTAAAACATTTTAAGTGGTAGTTTTCTTTTTCAGTTGCTTCCCCATCCTTGTGATAGGATCTCTCTCATAGAGGTTGTTTTCTCAGCTCCGCCTGAGTGGGTTGCCTACCATGAGAATTGCCTGAGTGGTAGATGCCTGTTTACAACATGCACAACTGTATGTTGTGACTTTGATATAAACTTCCCTGGCCATAGCAGAGGAGGTTGTTGGCAGAGTCCTGACCCAAACTGGACTCCACCAGAGAAGAGTGAGAAGAGTCTGTTCATTAAAATATTATAACCAGACAGAAGTAGTTCTTAGTACTTGACATTTCAAGGGCATGTTTGGCTACTGTGTTTGAGGCAGGAGGTAGTCTGTGAGGAGATAAAAAGAAGGTGAAAGCCTAGTCCATGAAGGAAGCCACACACTCAGAGTAAGAGAGAGTGACACAGAGAGGGAGATTTTGCAAAAGGGAGACAACAACAATTGAAAAGCCCAGCTTTTCAATTCTGTTTCTTGTCCCTGATGCAGCCCAGAGACCTAGCTCTTGCCTGGATTCTAAACTTCCAATAATGCTGTCGTTTTTCGCTTGAGTCAGCTCAAACAGATTTTATTTCTTGCAACTGAGATCCCTGAACAAAAACTTGGGAGCCATTAATGATGAGGTCCTGATCACAAGGTCTGGTGTAGAACCTTATGAGAAATTTATCTCTAGCTTCAATAGCTGCACCATGGGACATGTATTTCCATCCTTTGATCCACAGTGTAGGGCATCATGGGAGACACAATCCTACCCTCCAGTCTCTGCCACAGGGTCTCATGGGAAATGCAGTCCTAGCCTCAATTTCAGCTGTAAGTCATCGTGGGAAATGTATTCCTAGCCTCCAGTCTCTGCTGTGGGCGTATCATGATGAATGCAATCCTAGTCTCCAGTTATCACCTAGGGGAGCAACCTGAGGGTCCCTAACCCACACCTCAGCTGTCTCAATAAAACAAGTACACTTCCCTTAGACAAAAAGGTAAGGAAGTCATACTCCCTCTCATTTCTAATAAAAACCTCACTCCGGGCAAACTTGTTAAAAACACACAACACACACACACACACAGAATTGATTATACCTTCTAGCTGCTTTTTCTTTTTCTTTTCTTTTTTTTACAAGACAGGAACAAGAGAGCGTTAACCACAAGACACCGGTATAAGCTGATGGGTCTTCAAAATTGGGACAAGGGTTGCTCTGCAGCTCATTACCATCTCATTGTAATATTAAGATCTCCGCCCCGGGAACCATATTGGTACAATCCAATTCCTGTCCAGCCTCCAAAGGGCCACCCAGGGGCAGAAAAGAGGAGTGCATTCTAGGAAATCAGTACTTATTTCCACTAATCAGTGTGACACGAGACCCCTGCCCCTAATAACTCTTCTTCACACTTTTCTATAAAAAACTTGTCCCCAACTTGTAATCTGGGAGAAGGTATATTTAGAGCATAGGAGATCCAACCAGTCAATCCTAAAAAAAGTCAGTCCTGAATCTTCATTGGAAGGACTGATGTTGAAGATGAAACTCCAACACTTTGGCCACCCGATGTGAAGAACTGACTTGTTAGAAAAGACCCTGATACTGGGAAAGATTGAAGGCAGGAGGAGAACGGGACAACAGAAGATGAGATGGTTGGATGGCATTACTGATTGGATGGACATGAGTTTCAGCAAGCTCCGGGAGTTGGTGATGGACAGGGAAGCCTGGCGGGCTGCAGTCCATT